GAGTTTGAGGTTGCTGTGAGCTAGGCTAACACCATGGCACTCATTCTAGCCAGGGCAACAGAGTGAGACTCTGTTTCAAAAAAAAAAAAACAAACCATTTTGGTAGAGAAAATCATCATCATCCCCTATTTTTAGGAGGTTTAGTTTTCATATAACTCCTCAGTCCAAGTGGTCCCCACTGGAAGGAAGCCACAGCCTGGGATGATCCATGCAAGTGAAGGCATCTCCTTGTGGCGCCCCGGTCAGAGTCGTACCCTCATCCTTACACCTTCCTGGAGATTAAACACGACCACCTCTGTCTGATGAGGGCGCCCCAGTCACAGCTAGTGTGTGCTTTCTCTCTGGACTCATCCCATCTTAAAGGTCTTTTGTTGGGATACAGATTTGTTGAAGAAAGGAAACATAAATAGATGACATTATTTGGGTTAATAAAAGAACATCAACACTCCCTGCCTGCTTAACTGTAATAATAAAAACCGGAAATTAAGACTTGGGCAAAAAAATAGAACAGCCTTGATATGGTTAACCCTCTGACGATGGCAAACAGTGTGGCCAGTGCTGTCCACCGGGAAAGCTCCCCACCCCCTCCTCCTCCTGCTTCCTCCGTCACTCAAGGGGACCAGAGGCTACGGCTAGTTCACAATTCCTAGTTCATGGAGCCAAAGGACCTGCAGCCACATTCGCTTCCTGACTCAGCAGCGCCCCCTGCGTCTCAGGGCCTGTCCAGAGGCCGGACCTTTGCTAGAGGTTCCGCCTCTCTTCCAGCTGATGTCACAGGCTTCATCTTCCTCATCATGAACCACAAACGTCCCTGTCTTGTATTTTTATGTCCCCTTTTACTAACCTGAGGTGAATTTCAGCTTCTGAAATTCTTAACATCTGTATTAGATCTTTTTTAAGTTTCAGCCTCAACCTATTATTTACAAGCAAATACAGAAATTTTGTTCGCTTATGCTATCTGTTGACCTCCAAAATATTTGGGGGGGGGTAGTTTTTTTTTTTATGTCAAATGTATGGTATAAAAAAGAAGTTGCACTATAAAAGAAGTGAGCCAGGCCAGACACTGGCCATGTGAAAACAGCATCTCCTTACCCACTAAGTTCATCTTTGCACTGTAACTCCCAAAGTATCGGTCATCGGTGTTGGGCGTGTGACATTCATACTCCCCGGCGTCCCGGGCCTGGAGATCTGTGATGTGCAGTAAGGCCGAGTTCCCCTGGACTCTTTCCACGTAGATCTTGCCACTGCGGACACGCTGGGTGTAGATGGCGTAAGGGAAGGAGGAGTCCACAGTGCTGACGATCTGCACCTCTCGCTCTGGGGCGGAGGGCAGGTAAATGGACCACTGAAAATTCTGCTCAGAAGGGCCCTGGTAGCCACTCACGTTGCACCAGATGGTGATGTGGGAGCCCTCTGTGCGGTACAAGGGTCCTTCCTGAACGGTTACTTGCCGCTGTGCTGACACCACACCTATGAGGGAGACAGATACATGTAACATGTTCACTTACTTCTCAGACCAAAATGCAAAATAGGCAGCAATCTCCAAAGGGTTTGTTATTTGTGTGACGTGATAATAATATAAATAGCTTACTGGCCCTTTCAGAGGCGCTCTGTGATTTATAAATATTAATTAAAACTCTCTGTGGTAAAGCTCTGTCCCTAATTTGCATACATGGGAATTTGATCATGCAAGGACATGGTTTTGTTACTTATTCAATGGCTGACCCTTGGGAATTTAATTTAGTCCCTCTATTTGTCATTTATGCAGCAGTTTTATTTCTATTTATTAATGCTGTTTATAAAGTTTTTAATAAAATGAGCAGGAAAAGTTGAATCCTTGGCACAAATTCAGATGAAAAAACAAATAAAAGCAATGGTCTTGCAATTTGGCTGAAACGAAATCTTCTTTGATTAGAGTGCGGGAGGTGAGACTCTGGGGAGCACCCAATTTTGGCGCTGCACCCTTCCTTCGTTTTCGGATGCAGCTGCTCCCCGACACCACCCCGAGGAGCATCCCTTAGTTCCTCTTCCCTCCGTAAATGGAGGCAGAGCTGAGCTCCTGCAGGCTACTGCCACTTTAGACTGAGCACACACAGCATGAATATGAAGGGCTGAAGCAGACCCTGCTGCCCAGATTCCCACAAACTAGCAAAGTGGGGAGCCTACAGCGCACAGCAAAACCTGCAACAAGGACAATCAGGCTGCCCTCGAGTTCGCCACTCAATTCACCTCCTGTGCCCCTGCCTCCTTGTTGAGCTATGGTTTTCCAAGGTCACTGTGCCTGCCTTCTCCCTGCTCCTCTTAACGTGGCATAGTGAGTTGAATTCCTCATTCCATGCCAACACGACCCTGATGAGCCACTCAGAAGGTGGGAGGGGCACCCCTTCACCTTTTCCTTTGGCAGCAGCTAGGCACTGCACTGTGGCAGAGAGAGCAGGTGAGTTCCAGTTGCAGCTTTGCCACCAGGCAGAACTGGCTGGGTCTTCACGGACAAATTGCTTTTCCTCTCCAGATGCTGATATCCTCATCCATAAAATGATTTCTAAGAAGGCTTAGGGGAGGAGTAGCATGTGTCCCAATGCTGGCTTTGTCACTTATTAGCTGTGACCTTGGATAAGTTATTCACCCTCTCCAAGTCTCAGTTTCCTCATCTGTAAGATGGGGATAATAATGCATGCCTCATAGAGTTATTGAAAAGATTTAATAAGAATGTCTATAAAGCCCCTAGCACAGATCCTAGCCCACAATCAGTCCTCAGTAAAGTGCTGCTGGCTAAGATCCCTTCCAGCTGGAACATTTTGTAGCTCTGGATGCACAGGGGATAGGATTTGGCCAATGATCACTCAAGGACGTTTCAATGGCCACTTGACAATGACACCATCTCAGGGCTGCCCCCCTCCACCCACAGCTGCAGTCCACTCCCATGAAAAATTCCCTCCCCGACCCCAAGTGGGAAGGGCAGCTACCCCAATCTCAAGTGGACCCAGCTGGTGAACAGCTGGGACAGCTCAAATACTAGTGGGCTGCACTCTCAGCCCCACCTCAAATCAAGCTGATCTAATCTACAGGATGACAGATCTCGAAATAAGGAAAGGCCTATGGCCTACAAACTTTTGTTTGTGCAGAATCTTTTCTCCCAAACAAAATCTTACACAGAACCCCTCTTGACTTTTGCCAAAGCCGGAAAAACGAAACAGGCAAGGGGGAGGGGATAAATAAACAGAACAAAGTGGTGTGTGAATTTATTTGATACATTTCGGCTAATGGCATTCATCGCTATATTTAAAGTCAGTGAGAAGACAACTCGTTAGT